ATAAATAAAATATATATATATATATATATATATATATATATATATATATATATATATATATATATATATATATATATAACACAATCTTCCATTGCACTCCACTAGCTATAAAAATGTTACACAAACAAATTTTCAATTAACTTTTATTATTTGCAAAAATAATTGCATTTTTTGAATTTATTGCTTTCATTGATTTCTCCTAGGGTCCTGTAAGCATGGAGGTATTCTCAGAATGGGAAAGCCTGTCGTCAGCCAGCTGAATGCAGATCTGAGTGCAGGTTATAAGTATGGAGGATGGGGTAAAGACTCAAAGCCCCTGCCTGGTTCTGAAAACATGTACTGGTACTCCGGCTCTACTGACACTCTGGTCAGCAGAATCACACAGTACTCTGACTACTACAATCTGATCATGAGACAGGGCTTTAAGACACATCAGCTTTATGTCCAATATAATTATGATTGGCGAGGCACTGGAAACAACTACATTGTACGGGAAAACAACCTGTACTATCAGTTCAGAAGCCCTTTTGCTATGGGAAAGCTCAACATGACCAGTGTAAAAGTTGAGTATAAGGTGATTCCTATGGCCAGTGCCCAATTCTCATATCATTACTCAGCCAACCAGAACCTGGACTTTGCAGCCGATGAGTCCGGCCTGTGGGTAATCTACGCCACGGAGGAATCGAAGGGTAAACTGGTTTTAGGGAAGATCAATGAAGTGTCATTTGAAGTAGAGGAGGTTTGGCAGACTAGCATATACAAGCAGTCTGTCACAAACGCATTCATGATTTGTGGCGTCCTTTACGCAACCAGGTCAGTAGACACTCAAACCGAGGAGATCTTTTACACCTATGACACCAATAAAAACGAGGAAAGCCATGTAAGCATTCCCTTTGAGAAGTTCCAGGACTTTTACATGCACCTGGACTACAATCCCACCGATCAGAGACTTTACATGTTCAACAACGGTTACTATGTGTATTACAATGTGAAATTCAAGGTTTCTTAGATGAACTACTGCTTTCAAAATGACTTGACAATGTAATCCATTTCATGTGGAAATGCAAATATTGCAATAAAAGTATACACAAGCATCATTTCTTGCATGTTATGATCGTATGTGTCATAGTGGTTCAGGTTTATCAATAATTTAAACTTTAAATAATTAAACATTTAGTCAAAATGTATCTAAAAAAGTTATGCATACGTGCATCATATTTGATTCATGAGGCTCATATATAATTAAGATGAAACTGTTTTAAAATCTTGCCAGTTTGTTAGTGATCTTATAATCCATTACAGTGTACAAAACAATTGTTGCTAAATGGCAGCAGCTACGCTTGTATGAAATGAGAAAGCACGTCCACAATACCATGATGACATAATTAAATAATTGTACACATAATATTGAATTGAGTTTTAATATTTTATGAGCTAACCAAACACAAAGCTTCCACAAAGAAAAACTGTTACCCATCAGGGAACTCAAGGGAATAGCTCTGCATGACCATATTCTGAAGCACGTGTGTAATCAGTCCAATGAGCTGGTGTGCCCAAGATGGCCACCAGAGGACACTCCTGTGCCTTTGTGTAAATAGTGGCTCGTCGTGTGTTGGTGCCATGTGCTCTCCTGTCTATTGTCTAACCCCGCCCATCTTGTTACCTGATTATTGGTTATTTGCCTCACCTGCTTTCCCTCGTTACATTCTTTGTTTGCTCTCCTATCTATTCCCCTTGTGTTTTCTGTCCTGTGATGGTCCATTGTCCTGGTTGCTCGTTTCAGTTCAGCTCAGCTCTGTTCTGTTTTTTTTTTTGCCCTACCTACAACGGGTCTTTTGTTTTCTAGCCATGTTGGCTGTTATCTGGGCTTTGATTTAGTCCAGTTTTGTGTTGCTCTTTATTTTTGTTAATAAAGATCTTTAAAGGGGTCATGAAATGAGAAATCAAAATCCCCTTGATCTTTTGACATATAAGAGGTCATCGTACTATAAAAACATCCTGTAAGTTTCAGAACTCAAAACTTTCTCATTAGTCTAAAAACGTCTCAGGTTACTTATGTAACCATGGTTCCCTGAGTAGGGAATGAGACACTGCGTTCTCTAGGGGTCGTTATGGGGGACGCCTCGTCGTGACCCGTGTCTGAAGCATACATTGAAAAAACACTAACTCATTGGCCGACGACAGCCATGATGTCACTACCGGTGCGACTATAGTAAAAATAGGCACCGGGAGCATGCATCATTCACTTCTTCATCTGAAGCTTGCGTCCGCAGCATGGTAAGAAACCTAGAGGACACAGTGTCTCGTTCCCTACTCGGGGAATCATGGTTACATAAGTAACCTGAGACGTTCCCTTTCATGGGAACTTCGAACTGCGTCTAGGGGTCGCTATGGGGAATGGTATACCCATGCCACCATGCTGAGGGGAGTGCATGCCAGAACCATGGCGAGCACTAAGTACCAACTCTACCATATTGCTATGGGAGTTGCCCCTGGGACGTTAGATGGCTGTCAGTGACATTATTCCCTACGGCCAAAGGCCTAGGCTACATACCCAAAAATACTTACCTGTTATGGCCAGATTCCTGGGCCCGGGGTAGAGCTCAAGGCTTGGAATCAGGAATAGATTCCTTTAAGGGAATACGACCAAGAGCCTACAATCATACTAGTCTTGGCCTGTCACACAGGGGCTACCACACGTTTCTCTTTGTATGTGCTGAAGGAACTGTCTCAACAGACCCCTAGTAGCAACACCCTGTTAAAGTAGGTATCCAGAGGATACATAGGAGGAGTGGTGCCCAAGGCGGAACCGGGGTTTTAAACCACTCAGAAAGAGCACGAAGCTGTTGCGCGTAGCTCATACCGTACAGGATTTAAGAAAAGTGGGCAAAGCATAACGTGCACACTTACCACTTATGTGGATTTTAGAAAGTGGGCAAAGCATAACATGCACACTTACCAGCTATGTGGATTTTAGAAATACCGTTCTAGGGGTTCTCGTGGCACTCTGAAAGAGCAGCCCATAGATGGAAATAGCTCATCCCCAAAACGCTATGTCTTGAGAAGTCATCAAGTCAATCTACGGCTATAATACTGGAGTGGCTAGCAGTAAATCTGTAGCTGATGGAGCAAACATCCAGCTCTCAATCGAGAGGGAGCTCAACCTACAGCATGTTCCAATGCTGGAACGGCTAGCAGTAGTTTACCTTGGCTGAGGGAGCACAAACCCAGCTCTCAACGAAAGGGGGCTCGACCTGCAGCATGATTGTAAAATCAGAAG